ATGTGGCCGCGTGTCTTTCCAGCGCTCGGCTTTGCTTCGGCTTCCGCGCCGAGCCTCCGCATGTGCATTCAGCGACGACGACGACGGCGGCGGCGACGGCGACGGCGGCGGCGACGAGCGGCGGCGGCGACGACGACGACGACGACGGCGACGACGACGACGACGGCGACGGCGACGACGGCGACACCCTGCTTTGCTTGCTGCATCGTGCCTGGATGGTGAACCAGCCTCAGCTTTAAACATCAAGCGGAAAAGATTCCGCTCTGCTCGACGACGCAGCCGCTGCGCCGTGCCTGGGTTGTGGAACAACCTCTGCGACGGAACAGCCGCAGCGCCGTGCCTGGGTTGTGAACCAGCCTCTGCGACGAGACAGCCGCTGCGCCGTGCCCAGGTCGTGGGCCATCCTCTGACCGGCACGCGCAATGTGTGCAGATTATTCCCTTTTCTATATTTTTACAATCCGGGGGGGTGGGACCCCCCCCCCCCCGAAAATCGGACCCCCGGGATCTGGCGCTTTTGGGGCCCCCTGGACGCCTTGCAAGGGGTCCCCCGGGCCTTCCGGGCCTCCTGGACGCCCCTGCCGGGCCTTGCCAGCGGGCCCAGAGCGGTCAAGAGGGCGGCCAAACGGCCCCGCGAGAGCCCCACGCGGCCCCAGACAGGCCCAAGACGCCCGAAGACGACCCAAAGAAGACCCCCAAGAGGTCCTCCAAGTGCAAAAACACACACACACACACACACACACACACACACACACACACACACACACACACACACACACACACACACACACACACACACACACACACACACTTTCCTTTCCTTTCCTTTCCTTTTTTTTGTTCAAAAAAAGAATGAATTTTTGGACATTCGGTTCCTCGGTATTCCGCGCGTCCGAGTCCGCCGAAGAGGCCCCCAAAATCCTCCCACAACGGTGTCAAAGGGCTTCCAGACAATCCAAAAGAGCCCCACTATGGTCCAACAGGGTCGCAAGATGGCCCCAAGAGAGCCCCGCTGACAGCCCCAGATGGCCCCAAGACGCCTCCCGAAGCACTCCAAATCGTGACCCGGTCGTTCAGGGAGACCGTGGTTGGTAGCAAGGTGGCCGCAAGAAGCCCCCAGAGGCCCCCAAAAGGCGCCCAGGAGGCCCCCAGAGGTCCCCGAAAAGCTTTCGAGAGGGGCCCAGGAACACCTCCAAAGAGGAGCCCCTGCAATAAAAACTGGGGATGAGGACAAGGAGTGGCTCGCAGACAAGGAAGATTACGAGTAAGAGGAGAGGAAGTAGAAGGATAGTACATAACATTGCTATAACGACGATGGCGCAAACGGCAACAATGAATCATCGCTATATTTGGCTCTCCTGCATGCCGAGCTTCAATAACCAAGGTGCATGGCGCGAAGCGCCAATGCAGTCTTGTATATATATATATATATATATATATATATATATATATAATATATACTCATACCAAACCCTGCCTTCTTTCTGCCTCCCTTCCTTCTCGCCTTCCCCTCTCTTCTCTCTCTTCCTCCCTTCCTGTGTCCCTCTCTTCCCCCCCTCTCCCTCTCTCTCTTCCTGCCTCTCTTTCTCTTCTTCCCTTTTCCCTTTCTTTCCTTGCTGTTCCGTGCCTGGGTCGTGGAGCAGCCTTAGCTCCAAACATTGAGGCGGGGCGGAATCCGCTCTGCCCGAAGACAAAGCTGCTGCGCCGTGCCTGGGTTGTGGATCTGCCTCTGCGACGGGACAGCCGCTGCGCAGTACCTGGGTTGTGGACCAGCCTCTGCGACGAGACAACCGCTGCGCCGTGCCTGGATTGTGGGCCACCTTCAGGTATCATTATCATATTCTTCATAGTCGTTATCATTATCATCATTCTCCTCGTTTCCGCCCTCGCCCTTTGCCATGAGTGGTTCAAACCTACAAGCAGAGAGAGAGAGAGCTGGTCAACTGCTTGTTGACTAACAACTTAGCTGATTGCTAACGTTATGTGTGGCGGCTTGAAAACATTAGGCGTGGCGTTAGACACCGCAGGGAAAACCAACCAGATTGCACCGAACGGAATAAAGTTGAACACAATTAACAATGTTGTGAAATCAATGGTGGTGGACATCGGGTGTATCTCTAGCGTCGGCCCGTCGAACCTTGTAGTTTTATTACTCCGCATGGTGAGCCGCCATGATTGTCTGACAGAAGTGTTTTTTAGATATTGAATTCCTGCTATCACCTTCTCCCGTTCTCGCCCTAAGCTGGCTGCTCGCTATCATTCCCAATGTAGCTGCTAGCTACACACAAGGTAGCTGCTAGCTACCGCGCGCTTGGATTTCCCGCAGAGGAACAACACGAGGAAAAACACACACACAGTTTCATTTTCAGCATGAAGGTTCCTGCGGTTCGCGCTCCATTCCGCCGTCTCCGTGGTGCTCATAGGATATGTGATCCTCTTAGTAGTAGTAGTAGTAGTAGTAGTAGTAGTAGTAGTAGTAGTAGTAGTAGTAGTAACAGTAGTAAGAGAGAGAGAGAGAGAGAGAGAGAGAGAGACAGGGGAGGTAGACAGAGAGAGAAAGAGAGCGATTGAGAGAGAGAGGAGAGGAGAGAGAAAAGCGGCGGGAGGCAAAGAGAATCCTTTTGTATTCCGCCACAAAAGAAACCTCTTCGTATTCCACCACAAAGGGAATTCTTCCGTATTCCACCACAAAGGGGATCCTTCTGTATTTCGCCACACAAGAAATCCTGTTGTATTCCGCAACAAAAGGACTTCCTTTGTTTTCCACCACAAAAGGAATCCCTTTGTATTCCGCTACAAAGGGAATTCCATTGTATTCGGCCACAAAGGAAATCCCTTTGTTTTCCGCCACAATGAAAATCCTTTTGTATTCCGCCGCAAAAGGAATTCCTTTGTATTCCGCTACAAAAAAATCCTTTGTGATCCGCCACAAAAAAAATCCTTTTGTATTCCGCCACAAAAAGGAATCCTTTGTATTCCGCTACAGAAAGAATCCCTTAGTACTCGGCCACAAAAACAAATCTTTTGTATTCCGCCACAAAAGATTTTGTTGTATACCGCCACACAAGGAATTCCTTTGTATTCCGCTACAAAAGGAATCCCCTTGTATTCGGCAATAAGGGAAATCCTATTGAAATTAATGTAATAATTGTAAATCATGGCCAGGCTCAGCTCAGTTTTTTGAAAATTATTGTGTTTTCATGGCCAGGCACAGCTATCACAGCATTTTTGATTCAAAATATTAAGAATATCATGGCCAGGCACAACGATCACAGCTTTTTAAATGAGTTTCAAGCTGTCGAGGTTAATTTCAATAAACAGCTGTGAAAACACAGGGTTCCCTTTATATTTTTCATTCGAAAATCAAAGAAAACCATGTGTTTTCACAGCGTTTCATTGAAATGAACTTCCATAGTTGGAAAATCATTAAAAACAAAAGCTGTGATAGCCGTGCCTGGCCATGGTTTCCCAATATCTTTAATTAAAAATGCTGTGATAGCTGTGCCTGGCTATGGTTTTCGTAGAATGTTTTTAAATAAAAATGCTGTGATAGCTGTGCCTGGCGATGGTTTTCAATTACTATAGTACTTTCACTAGGATTCCCTTTGTGGTGGAATACAAAGGAATTCCTTATGTAGTGGAATACAAAGGGATTCCTTTCGTGGCGGAATACAAAAGGAATTCCTTTTGCGGCGGAATACAAAAGGATTTTCATTGTGGCGGAAAACAAAGGGATTTCCCTTGTGGCCGAATTAACAGGAATTCCTTTTGTAGCGGAATACAAGGGGATTCCTTTTGTGGCGGAATACAAATGAATTCCTTTTCTGGCGGAATACAAAAGGATTTCCGCTGTGGCGGAATACAAAGGGATTCCCTTTGTGGCCGAATACAAAGGGATTCCTTTGTAGCGGAATGCCAAAAAAAGGATTTCCTTTGTAGCGGAATACAAAAGAATTCCTATTTACAAATAAATGCATAGGGAGGGTGCCAAAAAAAAAAACCAGGCTTATTTGGCACCCTCTATGAAAAAAAAAAAAACATTACACCAGAGAATAACCCCAATCAAGGGATGGTTTGATCGATAAGGAGATCGACCGGGAACCTGGAAATCCAAAACCCACCAAAATCGGCCCAGAACCAATAACCAGGAACCCGGGAACCCAGAACCCGGGAACCCAGCGTGCGACCAAAATCGGCGGGAAACTGTCGCCAAATCTTTCAACTTCCGCCAGAACCCCTTCAGTGCAAGCACTGAGTGGGGAAAAATGTCGTTACCGGACAACGCAGCAGCGCCCCACGGAACGGAAAACTGAATTAAAATGTCCGGCTTCAGAGATTCTCAAAACCGAAGAGACCAGGCAAATGCTGCCGCCATCAAGGCCGCAACGAAAATCATTGAACACCGATGCCAGATGGAGACATGTCCAAACGAGGTTGAAAAGAATCCAGGCAAGAGAAGAAAACAATGGTAAGGGCGAATCTCAAAATCTATGAAGGCACAAATTTAAATCGCAAGCACTACCTACAATGAGATTGCGCAAAGGGCAACGACAATGATTTCAGACCCGGTCCAGGCCAGCCCACTCCACTGATTAAAACTTCCGGGTGAATTTCAGGGTCGTAAAAGATGGGGACGTCTCAAGCGAAACGCCCGGCCCGCCCTTCCGACTGGCCTGGGGGTGCGAAAGGGAGGAAGCGTCTAGAAGGAAAAGGAAGAAAGGAGAAGGAGGTGGAGGAGGAGGAGGAGGAGGAGGTGGCGGAGGAGGTGGAGGAAGAGGAGAAGGTGGGGGTGGAGGAGAGGAGAGGAAGAGGAGGAGGAGAAGGAGTAGGAGGAGGAGGAGGAGGCGTCGAGAAGGAAGAAAGAAGGAGGATGAGGAGGAGGAGGAGGAAGTGCCGAGAAGGAAAAGGAAGAAAGGAGGAGGAGGAGGAGGTGGAGGAGGAGGTGGAGGTGGAGGAAGAGGAGGAGGAGGAGGACGAGGAAGGACGAGGAGGAGGCGCGTCCAGCAGGCCGCGCGCCGAGCGGCGCCGGGGCCCGAAGTACCCCCTGTCGAGGCCCGCCGCGGCGGCCAGCGCCGCCGCGAGCACCGCGGCCAGCCCGCTGTGGCGAGTGCCCTCGCCCGCCTCCGACGCCGACGCCGACGCCGACGCCGACGCCGACGACCGACGACCGACGACCGACGACCGACGACGACGACGACGACGACGACGACGACGACGACGACGGCGGCGGCGGCGGCGGCGGCCGCCGACGGCGACGATCGTCGATCCATGCCGACGACGACGGCGACGGCCACCTCGACGACCGACGATCGATGACGACGACGACGGCGGACGGCGCCGACGCCGACGCCGACGACCGACGACCACGACGATCGACGATTGACGCCGACGACGACGCCGACGACGGCGACAACCGACGACGACCACGACGATGACGACTGACCGACCGGCGGCGACGGCGAAAACGACGACGGACGACGATCGACGATGGACGCCAACGCCGACGCCGACCATCCCTGGTGTCCTGGAAATGCAACTTTTCACACCTGACGTTCTCACCCAGTGTCGGGTCTTGGGACTAGCACCGATCGATCCGGCTCGAAAATGCCGCAGAGAAATACGGTCTAAGGCTGGGCGTGATTGTCTACGATGTTGCATTTTTTGGCGCGACCGCAGACCCAAGAAACTGAAGCATCCAATGCGGAATCTTGGTCGTCGTGTTCGACCCCTGGGGGCCCTCGCTGGGCCCCAGCGGCCCCAGGGCTGGCAAAAAATGACTCAATGTGCAAAGCCGGCCCTGGGGAACTACCGTCGGCAAGCGAGGGGGGCCTCCTCCTCCTCCTCCTTCTCCTCCTCCCTCCTCCTCCTCCTCCTCCTCCTCCTCCTCCTCCTCCTCCTCCTCCTCCTCCTCCTCCTTCTCCTTCTCCTCCCTCTCCTCCTCCTCCTCTCCTCCCTCCTCCTCCTCCTCCTCCTCCTCCTCCTCCTCCTCCTCCCTTCTCCTCCTCCCTTATCCTCCTCCCTTCTCCTCCTCCTCCTCCTCCTTTCTCCCTTCTCTGCCTCCTCCTCCTCCTCCTCCTCCTTCCCCCTCCTCCTCCTCCTGGCCCTCCAGAGCTCTGGGCACGCCGTCTTGGCAGAATCAAGGCGCCGGAGGCCTGGGGTCGTGGCCGCGACGGCACCCGCAACCACGGCGGCGGCGGCGAGGGCGTCGGCGTCGTTGGCGTCGTCGACGGTCGTCGTGGCCGTGGTTTTCAGCGCCGTCGCCGTGGTCGTCGCGGTCCTCGTCGTTGTCGTCGTGGTCGTGGTCGTGGTCGTGGTCGTGGTCGTGGTCGTGGTCGTGGTCGTGGTCGTGGTCGTGGTCGTGGTCGTGGTCGTGGTCGTGGTCGTGGTCGTGGTCGTGGTCGTGGTCGTCGTCGTCGTCGTCGTCGTCGTCGTCGTCGTCGTCGTCGTCGTCGTCGTAGTCGTCGTCGTCATCGTGCATTGCCGTCGTGCATCGTGGTCGTGGTCGTGGTCGTGGTCGTGGTCGTCGTCGTCGTCGTCGGTCGTCCGTCGTCGTCGCCGCACGCATGGCCGTCGTGCTCGCGGCCGCCGCGGCGGGGCCTTCGCCTCCGCGGCCGCGGTGTCCCAGCCTGGGAGGGCGCCCCCCCAGGAGGAGGAGGAGGAGGAGGATCGAGGAGGAGGAGGAGGAGGAGGAGGAGGAGGATCGAGGAGGATCGAGGAGGAGAAGGAGGAGGAGGAGGAGGGGGATCGAGGAGGAGGAGGATCGAGGAGGAGGGGTGAGATCGAGGAGGATCGACGGAGGCCACTCCCCACTTGGCGCTGCACCCGCACCGCCCGGCCCGACTCTCGGGAAGCGCGCTTCGCTTTCCTCCGATCCCTGGAGGAACAAAACCGGCACGAGCGTGGAGGATCGAGGAGCTTCTCGAGGAAGGGGAGGAGGAGGAGGCGGAGGGGGAGGAGGAGGATCGGAGAGGATCGAGGAGGAGGAGGAGGAGGAGGAGGATCGAGGAGGAGGGGGGAGATCGAGGAAGATCGAAAGGGAAGAGAAGGATCGAGGCACAAGCAGAAACTTTCGGAGCTCCGCCCGGATTTCTGGGGTCGGCGCTGGTCGCCCCTGGCGGCGCCACCCTCGCGGCCCCTGGCACGCTCCGCGCGCCAGGGAGAGGCGTTCAGCGCCCTTGCAACAAAAATCCGCGCGGAACTCCGAGAGTTTATGCTTGTGCCTCGATCCTTCTCCTCCTCCCTCTCGGCCCTCCTCGATCCCCCTCCTCCTCCTCCTCCTCCTCCTCCTCCTCCTCCTCGATCCTCCTCCTCCCTCTCGGTCCTCCTCGATCCCCCTCCTCCTCCGCGATCCTCCTCCCCCTCGTGCCTTGATGCAGTGGTTCGTTCCTCGAGTCTCTGTGCTCTCTCTCGCGCCCCGCGCGCCGCCCCACGGGCGAGGGGGCTGATCTCCTGCGGCCCCGGGGCGCGACGCGAGAAGAGCGGCGATCCCACGTGCCCCTCG